GGGGGCTGGCAAGCCCTGCACCCTGCGTGCCGGAGACGCGTCCTTGCTTTGTCTCAGGACTTTGCCTGTTTTCCCTCTTGCACCGCCGAGCCCGGGGCCAGGGCTGCCCAGGCTGCCCAATCCTGGCACGCTGGCATGCTTCACCGCACCAGCTCCAGCCAGCTCTGGCACGCAGCCCGTTGCCAGGGTACAGGCGCCCAGGGCTCATTCAGCTGCAATGTCACCTCTTTAGCAATGCTACAAGGTGCTGCTGCGCTCTGAACGTCACCGGCTCAGGGCTCCAAAAGCCCTGGGCACCGGAACAGCCCTGCATCTGCTGCTTCCCGTTTCCCTGCGCAGCGGGGCTATTTCTGCAGATGGCAACAGGTATTTTCCTCGCGGCAGGAGACGCGTTCGAGTGCCACAGGCAGTGTGGCCGTACCCTGACTTCTGAGGCTGAGCTCGGCTGATTTTGCTTTTGCCTTTCCCGAAGTAAATGTTTGGGGGGCAGAGTCTCACCAGTGACTCTCAAGACTGAGGATTTAGGATCCCAAGCACTTAAAGACTCTGTTCTCCACGTGCCACCCTTTCTATATCTGGTGTGGCTTCCCAGGCACCACACCTGAGCTCCCCTGGGGCAGCTCTGTCCCCCTTCCGTGTCGAGAGGAGTTGGGTATTCTGGGTTCCTCATAAACAAGTTGTCATCACCGCTGCGTGGTGTCATTCCAAGTGACCACAGGTCACCTCGCCCGGTCCCTCAAGGCAAGCCGTGTCCCGTGCACCCTCCCGGCAGCACTGCCAGCCCCCCCGGCATCCCCCCCACCACCAGGCTGCCTTCCCGGGCACGGCATTTCCAGCCGGGATGGCCCGCGGTGGGATGCTCTTTCACCACGAAGATCACCTGTCTGGGCAGTTACCGTCTACCTTGGCGATCGCTTTTGTCCCTGCCTGCGCTGACTGCTCCCGTGGCTTTCGGACCCTCCCAGCCCCTTTGCCGCTGCTCAGCTGCCCGGGCGCAGGCAGGGTGCGGGGCTGCCTGCCCGCCCTCCCCTGCCCGCTCC